AACAACTGAGAACTTAACCACTGGACACCAGGCTTCTCAGCCTCCCAAGATGGCAATATTTAAGGCACTTCCTCAAATCCAAGTTATTCTATCAGTTCCTTTTGTTTTTCTCTTACTTGAATTATCAAAAGCATTTTTCTTTGTCTCTCTCTTTTCCCCCCTGCTATTTAGTTGGCCCAGGATCAGGCAGTATTTTGTTCTGCTGTGCATAAGGTTGCCATGAGTCGGTAATGACTCGATGACACCTAACAACAACAACAAATTTTAAAAAAGATAACATTTATCATGTATCATATAATATTTAGAGAATCACAGAAAATAAAAAAAAAAGGCACAATACTACTATGAGTTATAGGTAATCATTGTTAATATTCTGGTCAAATTTAATCAGTGCTAAAATCATATTATAAGGAGCTCTGGTAGCGTACTGGTTACGAATCGGGCTGCTAACCTCAAGGTTGGCAGTTCGAAACTATCAGCTGCTCTGCAGGAGAAAGATGAGGCGTTCTGCTCCTGTAAAGATTTATAGCTTTGGAAACCCTGTGCAGGGTTACTATGAGTTGGAACCGACTCCACAGTACTTAACAACAACAACAACAAAATCATATCGTAAGGAGCTCTGGTAGCATAGTGGTTATGAATCAGGCTGCTAACCTCAGGGTCAGCAGTTCAAAACTACTAGCTGTTCTGCAGGAGAAAGATGAGGCTTTCTGTTCCCGTAAAGATTTATAGCCTCAGAAACCCCGTACAGGGTCACTATGAGTCAGAACTGACTCCATGGCACATAACAACAACAACAACAAAATCATATTATACACCATAAAGGGGATTAAAAAGTTCATGGTAAAGTTCCTCTATCTTTCAATTCCATTTTTCCACAAACTTTTTCAAGTTTGTTCATACTGTCATCAGACATTCTTCTAAAGCAAGAATAAAAGAAGATTTACATAGTATACACAACACACACACTATCATAATTGATTTAACAAATTCCTTGGCTCAATTTTTTTAAAAAACAGCAATAGTTAAAAGACCAGTACCTCTTCTTTCTTGATACCAAATTAGAGAGCAGTGAAATAAAACAAAACGCACAATTAAACCAACTATATGCCCCAAATTGAAAAGTTGTTAATAGTTTCATCCTATTAGATATGTAATACGATCTTTTTCTCATATGGAAATTTTCCATTTAAATATTATTCCCCATTACACTCTTCAACATGTTTTTTTTTGTGAGTATCATTTATTTATAGGGAGACTTCTATGTGTTGTGTAGGTTGAACATCGTATTAACTTATTAGGTATTTTAAAAAACGACTGAAAAAACATAACCAAAAAAACCTAGGTATGTAACAAATTAGCAATCCTAAATTTCCATTTTAATATTAAAACACTTGAATTTTAACTTACCTTGAACAAATCTGACACAGTGATTGAAGAGAAACACTGGGCATGTAGGTTAAAGCTGCATTGTAACACAACAAAAGGAATGTCAACACTTCAAACCTAAAAATAAACCAAAAGAATAGTCACAAATCTTTAGAAGTGGAAGTCACCACAACTGAACACACATTACGAAGGGATGTTATACTACAAGACCGACCTCTCTGATACAATCACACCAACAACAAAACAAAACTGAAGGAAAAACAGACTTCTCAAGTAAGACAAACCAAAACCAAATCGACAAGCACTGAATCAGTTTCAGCTCAGAGCAACCCTGTAGGACAATGAACTGCTCCATAGGGTTTGCAAGGCTGTAAATCTCTGTAGAAGCAGACTGTCACATCTTTCACCCGCAGAGAGGTTGGTGAGTTCAAAGAACTGACTTTCTGGTCAACAGCTGGGTGCTTTAGCCACAGAGCCATGAGGGCTCCTTTCTTAAGTAACAGGTACACAAAAGTCATCTTAAAAATACAATGTTCCAGATGACGTCTGAGACAAAATACAAGTGACATGTCTGGATGATATGTTTTCCTCTTGTATAAAATATGACTCAATATCCCAATACATTGTTATATACAATGCATTATATGTTATTTATAAATATATTGAAATAAATTTTTACAAGACAACATGGTTGGGTAATAAGTAACATCTCCACAGTATACCTATTCTGGGCTGTGAGCATCTCCCGTTGAGGATGAGGGCCACTGTACACAACTCTTGACAAGCCATGCTGGGATAGTGCACTCTCCGTAAGAGCCATGGAGCCAATGCTGGAGGGCTAAAGAAGAGACAAGGGAACAGAGAACAAAAACAGCCATTCCGTGGAAAATGTGGTCAGTGGAATGCACACACCACTAAGCATGGTTACCACAAATATTATACATTTTAAAAACACATGTAGAGCCTACCAAATTTTGTGCTGAAAGATTAAAAAATAATGAAAAAATTAAATTATAAATGAGAAATAAAAAAAAAAACAGTTAAACTTGGGAAAATTCTACCACAGCAGTACACAACTGCAAAGAAAAAGAAAGAAGAAATATTCTAGTTATATGCATCGTTGTTGTTAAGTGACATGGACTCAGCTCTGAATCTCAGAGTCCCTGTATAGGGTTTCCGAGGAGCAACTGGTGGGTTTGAGCTGCCAACCTTGCAGTCCAGAGCTTTATCCTACGGTGACACACCAGGACTCCAATAAGAACAAAGAAATGTTTTGAAATGAATACTTTAAATAATTTCTTGCTACTAGACTCTAGTTTAAAGGTTAATGGTTTTGAATTCTTATATCACTTTGAGAATAGTATATACTCTGCATGTGTTTTACACTTCTAAAGTTACTAATAAAATGATAAACTGTTGATCTCATTAGCTAGACTGTAATTTATGGCAACTTCAAAACTTATACCAATAAATTTACTTTGATAAAATGTCACTTACTTCATGGTATACAGATGGTTTGGATAAAGATGGAATCGTAAAACTCAATACTTTGCTATGTCCCTCTTTGTCAACTATTTCCTACAAAAGTGAAAGAATATTTATTTATTACACACAAATTTAAAAGCTAAATTTAAATCATTAGCCTAAATGGAAAAGAGGCCTATGTACAAATAATTTTTAAGTCAACTAAAATCTTAAACCATGACAACCCATTATCAAGTATTTATGAATATTATTAGTATTTGAAATGTGTGCCCTTCTACTTTTATAACAATAGCAACATATAGGTTTTCTGGATGGCTAAAATACAGATGTTGTTGTTGCTGTTGTTGAATACCACTGAGTAGGAGCCAATCCATAGCAATCCTGTATAGCGTTTCAGAGGAACAGCTGGTGGGTTTAAACTGCTGACCTTTTAGTTTGCAGTCCAGTGCAGATCCTATAGCACCATACCAGGAGTCCAAAGTATGGATATAGTCCCTTAATAATTATTGATTTTTATCATATAATAATTCATACTTTATAAATCCATTGACATAGCTATAAAACATGCCAAGAAAAGAACCTTAAATTGCTTTTCCACTTAAAAAAGTTAGCCTTAAGTATCTAGAATATCATGTTATATAAAACACTATTAAAATTGTAGTATAGATGTTACATAAATGATATACAATCTGAAGACTGTACAGATTTCATGGCACTACTTAACAACAACAACAACATTATTGGTGGATGCTGTCCCCTCCCTCATTAAATTAGATTTTTCTCCCAAATTATTTGTGAAGATCAGAAACAGTTAATTTCTTGGCAGTGGATTTAAAATTTTTTAACTTAAAATGTGATACGGATACTTTCATCAATGTAAGATAGTGTACTTACACAAAATACTTTAATTAATGTAAAATTGTATATTTACACAATTACATGTATGTCAATAAAGCTATTTTTGGGAGAATGAGCCATGACTCATTTGATGTGTTAAAATCAAATATTAGCTTTACTAACATGAAAAAATAGTACAACTGCTGGTCTTTCTTTCCCTGTCCGGCACAAAGAAGAGTAAAGAAAATCAAAGAGTCATGAAAGAATGAGTCCTAAGGACTAGAGGACCAAGTGAAGTCCAGCCTCCACAACTCAGAGACCAGAAGAACTAGATGGTGCCCAGCTACCAATGCTGACTGCTTGGAAAGAATTATGATAGGAAATCCTGGATACAGTGGGACCAAAATGTGGAACAAAACTCAAAAAATAAAAATGCCAGGCTTACTGGTCTCACAGAAACTGGTGGAACCCCTGAGACTGTCGCCCTCAGTAACCCTTTAACCCACCCCTGTGGCTTAACCTTCAGCCAGACAATGTTGTTGTTAAGTGCTGTTGAGTCAGTTACAACTCGTAGAGACCCATATAGGGTTTCCAAGAAGCAGCTGGTGAGTTTGGAGCACTGATCTTGCAATTCAAACCGACTTTTCAGTCCAGAGCTTATCCTACAATGCCATACTAGGCAAACAGATGTTGCTCTTGTTGTTAAGTGCCACTGAGTCGCTTCCGACTCATAGCGACCCTGCTTGTATCGCCGTTCTTGCAGTTCAAACCAATCTTGAAATTCAGCTCATTAACCCACATTGCCTCACCAGGACTCCTGGGCAAACAACAGACAGACCTATAATGTGAACAGTAACACCAGAGAGGTACAAACTCCCTAGAACAACCAGCCAAACAAGATCAAAATGGACAGCATCTTCCCAGGGATAATGCTCAGAGGGCAGAAGGGGTAAGTAAGAAGATGGGGAGGAAGTGAGAAAAGTGCTGTTACATTGTGAGGGTGGTAATCTATGTCAACAATTAAAATGTGTATGAATTATTACATGGAAAACCAATTTGCTCTGTATACTTTCACCCAAATCATAATAAAACATTAAATAATAAAATGAAAAATAGTTGTAAATCTTGAAACAGTTCTGGTAAAAACAATCTGTCTATTGCTGGTGCAGAAAAAAGAAAAAGAAGAAGGAAAAATAATGTTTCAGGAATGATTATTTCTGATGTACTTGCTTTTGATGAAAAATACTTTAACATCATTAAATACAAACCAAATTGTAAATCCCTAGAAGAAGAGCTTCAATGCATCCACTGGAGTGCACATTTCTGCTGGCTGAGACTGCAAGGTAGCACCAAATCAGCTCAGGGAGAAACTGCAGTGTAAACCGAAGCAACCGTTCCTCTCCACTGCGATAGAATTCAAAAAGCTGGTGACAGACAGGCTCTAGCAACTGGAAGAAATACAAAATGTTCATTCAAGGACTATACTGTATTTGACTGACACTGTTACATGAAACGGCAAAGATTTTCTCTGATGGATAATTACTGAAATCTCCAAGTCTCAATTCTTTTGAAGGAAGTCATTCACTGTTAAGCTATTTAGTGAAACTTTTGAACTCTGATGGAATGCCAAACAGTGCAAAAAATACATTTAGAGAAGGCTTTTGAAATATGAAGTCGTAATTCTACTACTTCTTAGCCTGGATGATGGTACACCGGAGTTCACTTCTTACCGATATTTAAAGACATGCATTTTCCTACTTGTATATACATTTATTTAACAATGTAAAATTTTATTTACTTGTATCAATCAAGTAGATACTTGGTTATTGTTGTTAGCTGCCACAGAGTCAATATGGACTCAGGGAAACCCTATGTGTGCAGAGTAGAACTGCTCCTGAGGGTTTTCATGGTTTTGACCTTTTAAAAACAGACTGCCAGACAGAAGACAGACTGCCTTCTGAGGCACCCCTGGGTGGTTTGGACCACCAACCTTTTGGCTAGCAGTAGAACTTACCTCGCTTTGCGGCTCCTGGATAACTTTATATAGAGATGAAACCAAAGTACTCTTATCTTTCAAATTTGTGGCATAATTTGGTAAAGATGCTTCTGGTAGTGTCTAAACAAATGAAAAATAAGACAATTGAATTATATGAACTGTCCAGAATAGCCAAACTATAGTGAGAAAGCACATTTGTTGTTGTCAGGGGCTGGGGGAAGGGAGACGTGAGAGTGACTGCTAATAAGCATGGGGCTTCTTTTGGGAATGAAGGAAATGCCCCAGATAAAACTAGATGATGGTGATGGCTGCCCAACAATGCGAATATACCAAATCCAACTTACCTGTCCACACACTTAAACAGTGAGTTCAATGTTATGTGAATATTTTTAATGTCATTACGTAAATACATTACATGTTATGCTCTTTGAGAGAAACATAAATAAACATCAGCGCTTCTTCTTGGATCACAATTTGGGATAGGAAATCAGAGTACAAACTATTGACACGAGCAAAATGATGGAAACAATTTAAATGCCCATCAATGGAAGAATGCATAAACAATCCATATAATGCAACATTACAAAAGAACACTGAATTTTCTAAGCACCTCATAACATGGATGAACCTGGAAGATACTATGCTGAGTGAAGTGAGACAATCACAAAAGGGTAAATATTGTATAAGCCTACAATTGTATAAAATGTCAAGAAAAGGTTATTATACTAAAAGAAGCGTTCTTTGATGATTACCAGGGGTTGGCTGGGAAGAAAACATAAGTTGTTGGCTAAAGGGTGTTATTATTGTCAAGTGCAGTCAAGTCAGTTCTGATTTATAGGGGCTCTTTATAGGGTTTCCAAGGAGCAGTTAGAGGGTTTGAACAGGTGAACCTCTGGTTAGCAGTCCAGTGAGGGTTGTTGTTGTTAAGTGCTGTCAAGTT